CTACAAAAAGAAAATAAAACGATCCCACATTAGTAAAACTTGGCTCGTTCCACGAAACGATACATATGTTAAACGGCGCGAGCTCCGGAGGCTGCAGCAGCGAAAGGGTTAAGCAGTGTTACGAAATTCCCAATGCGGAGATTCCAGCACAAAAGGACTTATTGTTCCGCTTGATGTGTTTCTCCGAATAACATCGCCGCGCAGAAATGACTTGTCGGGCATAGTTTTGCACATTCTCTCGGTCAGAAATATCCTTTAGCTCGGGGAATAATCTCGCGGCGCGCGGCGAACATCTTCGCGGCTCGCGATGCATGAAAGGCCCTTTCAGGAGTGAAATAATAATTATCCCGTCATTCACTTTCCCCTCCACGCGACAGACAGTGTCAACCAACCCAGCGAAGCTCGATTAAAAAGAAATTGAAAAGGGAAAAAACGATTCGGTGTTCTCTTGTAGGCGATTTGCATTCGCCGTAATTAATCGGTTCGACGAAAGCACAACCAGGAATACACGAATTCGAATACGTTAGAGAAATTAGTACTTTTTTGGACGTGGTGTTGAAACATCCACTCGCTCGACTGTAATGAAGACGTATCGAAGCTTTTTGCGATTTCACGCTGGCAATTACGGGAATTGAAGGCTTAATGCGAAGCAAACCGCTTAAAGTGGCTGGGAATGCAACAGCCGAAGAAACGATCGATCTTCTTGACGTTAACGCCTGCACTTCCTCTATCCACGAAGCAAACCACCGATTTCGTGCGAAATTATGTAATTATCGCGCGAAAATTTTATATATACGTATATCGATCACAGGTTTGTAATTACCGCGCTGAAGGGAGGAATCAATGCCGGCGAGAACGAGGGAGAATCGCTTGGCTAGCATGAAACTGTGCCGCAATAAAGCTTCCACAACGAGGCTGTTACGTTCTGTGCGCTTGTTTGTACCTTTTATTCCCCGCGATTTGAATAGCGGTTTAAATTTTAAAGGAGGGATCGCATAATAGGAGGCACGAGAAGAATAAAAGGCAACCGTATGAAAAAGAAGACGGAACGCAATACAGCCAGCTCTGAAAGCGCTTCGGCTTGCTCGGAGAGGAAAAAAATAGACACAGAAAACGGTGTGATGTGAAAGGAAACCGTGCGCTGCGGTACTGATTGAAAATGGTGACAAACGTCGATCGTGTTCAGCAGAAGACGTATTTGCAACAAAATGTTACAATCGAATTTGTAAAATATGATAAGAATTTTTAAATATGAACAATATAATAATGCTATTAGAAAATTAGTATTAGGCGTAGAAATGAAGTCTTTTCGATTGGAATCGCGTAATTGATTCACAGCCACCGTGATGGTATTCTCAAGCTGCCAGAAAAATGGCAAAAAGGCATCAACGATGACATCACAGAAATTATTTCGATTCTTGCTCCGTTTTCACTCTTTTTAAATAAAACTTTTGTACCTAATAGTATTAATAAATGGTAACAATACCATTGTAAAATATTAAAAATTGATTAAGACACTTAGGGACACAGTACGAAAAAAAGAAAATTAACTTCACCAGAAGCACGTGACCCAATGACCAAAAAACAATCGCAAATAACGTCACGACATCCACTATTTTCACCACTACCCCCGTTCGTTATCCGCCATTGCGCGGTGCGTCCACCACGGAAACAGAGTGACTCGTTTCGCAAGCAACGTGGCGTGTCACGGCCGTGATTTCGTCGGCCGTTCTTCACCCCTTCCAATCCTAAACACGACCGGTATACTCTCTACCGAAACGAGAAACAGAATGAGAGAGCATACCAAGAGTAACGGCTCACAGTGCGCGTGGTACCATCGAAAAACGAAAGACACACCGTAGTAAACGTAACGATCGTTTCCCTATAAACGACACCATCGTAAATTCCAAACGTGCCCCCAACACAACGTCGCTGCCTCGTGTGTACACACACTATACCCGATCGCTCACGCAGGTCCCGAAAGCCCTAAGGTTCAACTTTAGACACCGCTTTAAAAGTCTCCCAGGCCGCGCGCGCGCGCGGCCGGAAGTGAAATAGAGAAAAACGTGCATCGAAAGTCGTAGACGTCGGGAGTCGGTATGGTAAAAGGGAGGCAACGGAACGGCTATTTTCTCTGTTTCTACGTCTCTCCCTCGCCGCGTATCTTTATTCCCCTTTTTTTCACCACACACACACACACACACACGATCCCTCTTACCTCACGCTGTAGGACCTTCCCGGTTTGGAGGTCATTGCACCGCGACGGGGTGGTTGCAACGGGGTGGCCAGCACACGCCGTATCGATTTTCCACAAGGACGTCGAGGCGCCGGAAAATGTCCCCCTTCTGCGTCCCCCTTCGATCAGTCCCCCTCTCCCCACTATCGGCACAACTACGATGCTTCTTGGCACGTGACTACGACGTAAAAACCTCGTATCCCGTTCCTACGTCGCGAGCATCCTCGACCGCGAGAGAGGAATCGATCGGTTAAACCCCTGGCGCCAGACCGCCCACACCTTTCCAACCCTCGCGACGTCGATTCTTCGAGAATCGCGACGTGGATCGTTCAACGGAGCGGAAGGGATGCCAGCAGAGAGTCGCATATAGGAGCTGGAGTCACGCTGATGCTTCACCGGATCACGCTCGATTGCTCCAGTGTTACGTGCACGCGATTACTTGGCGGGATTCGTACACACTAGCGGAGCCTTCTGAATTTCACTGACTCTTCCCTTTTTTCGAGTATTCGAACCATATGGGAAGGAGGTTTAGAATCACTGGTTAATTTAATTAGAATGACTGTCACTTTCTTGATCGACGATTTTTCCTCTGGGAAAGTCTCGGAGAAGTGTGATTTCATTCACGAGGAAAGGTGAATTAGAATCACCGATTAAGTTAGCCACGATGACTGTCACTTTGTTAACTGTACTTCCTCTGCGGTGAAACGATAGTTCTTCAGAGCCTCGAAAGAAATTGATAAGTAGAATATATAGATTGGAATCACCAGTTAATCACGTTACGATGACGATCACTTTTTTCGAAGGTTCGCAGGAACCGAAGATGGAAAATGCAGGACGATTGTCGAACGTCGTACTGGAGGCACTTCCGATCGGTCTGTGTGTGCACAGCCTGCGATGATCCCAACGGCGTATAAAGCGATTCACACGTGACTGTGAAGAGTACGTCGGCTGGCGTAGATGTCGATAGTGATCGATGAGCTGACGGAGAATCCCAGGTGGCACGATTTTTGCGCCGGCACACTCTCGATCCGGCCAATGGCGGGCGCCGGCACGCGCGTAAACAGATTCCACCAAAGTCCAATGTCACGGCTCGCCACGCGGCGACCTCACGCTTGCACCAGATCACAGTTATAGTTGAGCCGTGGCAGGGGCGCGCACGTTTTCGAACACGGTATCGCCGCACTTCCGCGCCGGTTCTCCTCGCTCCCCTCTCCTTCTTCCGGCGCCCTCGTGATCGCGTGGCCGCCGACTGCTTCTGGAACGATCGGCTCGTTCGATTCGCTGATTGCTCGATAGTTATTGATTCGTGTTCGACGATGGCTTTTCGCTTTTCCTATTTACCCTATTCGGTAGCAATACCGGGATGAGTGTGTTGGTACTAAATGTATAAGTATATAG